GCCAGCCGGCCAGGCGTAGCCGGGTGGCCAGCCAGGTGGCCCGCTAGACCCGTAGTGCTTTGATTTTTGATCTAAGCCATGGGTGCAGCTAACTTCACTGACCCGGCAAGCTAGCCAGCCAGCCAGCAACAAGCAAGGCAGGCAGCCGTGGGACGCAGGTTGAAGCTGTCAGTGATTGCCGATCAAGAGCGATTCCCATGACGGATGGTCTCCTCGCAACAAGCAGCGCTAAGCAACGAACCACCACATGGCTCGCGGTGGCGTGGTGGGGTGTTGCGTGGCGGGGCGTGGCGGGGCGTGGCGGGCGTGGCAGGGCGTGGCAGGGAGTGGCAGGATGTGGCAGGGCTTTGCAGCAGGGCGTGGCAGGGCGTGGCAGGGCGTGGCAGAGCGTGGCAGGGCGTGACAGGGTGCGGCTCTCTTCGAAACGCGCTTTAAGGGTCGCGTCGGCGTGGCGGCGTGCCGTGTAAGAGAGGGCGGAATTCAATTAGGGGACAATCCAACTAAAAGCAGCGCCCCGCCCCGCCCCGCCCCGCGCCGCGCATCACATGCCCCTTTGCTCCTTTGCGGCTTTTCCACGCCGACTTCGCCTCAATCTGCCGAATGGATTGGCGCGCTTTTAATTGGCGGCGCCCTGCACACTGCTTCCGAGAGTCGTCGCTGTCTCCCTCGCACTCACGGGGCGCTCGCTGCAGGTGCGAGGGAGACAGCGACGACTCTCGGAAGCAGTCCTCTGCGGCCCTCTGCCTTTCACCGTCCCCTGGTTCGCCTCTACTCTACCCCCCCCCCCCCCCGCCAACGCCGCCGCCGTAGTCTTTGAGGCCGATGTATAGCAGATGAAATGGAGAGCACATCTGACGGGACCGTCGGTCCCGGGGACGCCGGCGTCGGCCAGCCATCCAGCAACAATCAAACAAGCACTGACGGCGGCAACGCGGAACGCCGGGGCGGCAGGGTGGCCACCCATCGGGCGCAGAGTCACTTGCCTTGCACCGCCTTTGCCGATCCGTATTACTCTGCAGCAGAACGATTCCGAGGGTCGTTTTCGTCGCTCTGTCTCTCTCGCACCCGTTCGGGGCGCCCCTTGGGTGCGAGAGAGACAGAGCGACGAAACCTGCTCTCGGAATATCAGTCTGGTGCAGGGTACGCGAGGGTACGGGTCGGCATGCGGCCCTCAGTCTGAGCCGCTCCGTCTCGAGCCACTTCATGGCTCGCTCAGTACCTGCACTCGCAGGCAGCTTAGTGCTGACCAGAGACGGCGATTTCAGTGGTACGGTGCTATGAATAACAGTGTGTGCTAGTGTGTGTGAGAGAGGGGGGGGGGGAGCGGGTGGGCAGGCTGCACTGGAGGGGAGGGAGGAATCAATCAAAAACATGAGAGCAGCCAATATTTTTGCAGGCCGGCCAATGCTGAACCCCTTACGACACGACGCGTGTGTCGCGTGTGCTGCCGGCCTGCCCGGCCTGCCCGGCCTGCCGCGCTCCCCTCCCGTTTTACGGACGCGCTGCGGCCGGACTCTCGTCGCCCTGTCTCTGTCCCACTCACGGCGCGTCCCGCGGGCGTGCGAGAGAGACAGACTGAGGCCCTTCGGAGTCGCCCCGCCACCGCTCCCCTCCGAGTGTGCCTTGCGTCTCCTCCCCTCGGCCTCGGCCTGGGCATCCCCGTTCTCACGGCTGAGTCGCCTCCACGCGCTTCGCATGCCGGGCTGTTCGGACGCGCCGCCCGATTAGAGAGGACAAACGAGAGCAGCGCGTTAGAGAGGCAAACGAGAGGCGTTGCGTTAGAGAGGCAAACGAGGGTGCGTTAGAGAGGCAAACGAGAGGTGGTGCGTTAGAGATAGGCAAACGAGGGTGCGTTAGAGAGGCAAACGAGAGCAGCGCATTAGAGAGGTGAACGAGAGGCGGTGCGTTAGAGAGGCAAACGAGAGGCGGTGCGTTAGAGAGGCAGACAAGAGCACGCCACTCGTTCAAGTGGGGTGAACTCCACACTTCCTGGTGAGGACTGAATTTCCCACACTTGGACGTGGAGTTTGCAGTTCTCACACTTCAAGAGTGGAGTATCTCACCTCTGCCTCACATGCCAAGTGAACTTTTGGAGTGTGGGGACTGCAGGCTCTGCTCTTCCAAGTGCGGCCAAGGAAAACTCCAACACCTCCGCATTCCGAGAGTGGATTGCTCCACACTTGGTTTCACAGTGAGGCGGTGCGTTGGAGCAGCGCGCTACTTAGCGTACCGCTGTCGTCGCTCCGTCTCTCTCGCACTCGCAAGGGGTAGGCTCCCTCCCGCGTCACGCAGGTGCAACAGGGCCGAAGCGACACCAAAGAGTGTCACAAGTCAGTGCTTGCCGCCACCCTGGTTGGCGAGATGCTCAAATGTGCGATTTCTTGTGACGTCGACGCACGGGTAAAGAGCTACCTTTCCCGCCAGCAGCGTGACAACTGCACCGGCGTTTTGTTGTGTGGGGAGGGGTGTCTCCTTGCGTGTCTGGGCGCCAGGTCCCCCCCCCCCCCCCCCTCTCCCTTCTCTCCGGCCCGCCAGTGCAAAGAACGTTAAACCGTAATTGGATCCAACATGAACCATTATGCCTTTGAAAGGTTTGTGGCTAGATGCGAGACGAGAGGGTGGTGAGGTGGGGCAGCGGTGGCCTCGCGTTGGAGCGAGTGAGATGGACAAGAAGAAGAGGAAGAGAGAGAGAGAGAGGGGGGGGGGGGAGAACCGCACGCGCCGCCCCACCCTCCCCCACATGGCTGCGCGTAAATTACCCTACTGGCTTTTTACGGCGCGAAGAGTAATGATGAAAGCAATTAAAAATTGTAATTATTTGGCGCAAGAAAGTGTAATATCGGACGGGTGGGAGGCGCATCGCAGCGTGGCGAGGTAATGACGCCGTGGCGGGGCGGGGCGGGGCGGGGCGGGGCGGGGCGGGGGGGGGGCGGGGCGGGGCGGGGCGGGGTGGGCCAGTCAGGCAATCAAAGAGGGACTCGGACCGCGGCGTGGCGCGCGTCGTCTTGCGCGCTCCGAACAGTGCTCTCACCCCTCTGTCTCTCTCGCACTCACGGGCCACCCCGACGGCAAGCCTCGCCAGCGGCCCGAGGCGACCCCACCGCCCTCCAGCTTGACTGACTTGTTGCGGTGCGCCCTCAATCCATTCAGGCAGCCTCAATCCGAACGTCTCTCTCCCACTCACGGGGCGTCCCGAAGGGGTGCGAGAGAGACCGGGGCACTGCTTGGCCACCCGCAGCCCGACGACGTTCCAGAGTGCCGCTTATTGACAGGGTTGTTTGTGCATGCACCGCTTTGATCAGTCGACTCACTGTGCCCCCTCCCTCTTTCCCTCCCTCTTTCCCTCCCTCTTTCCCTCCCTCTTTCCCTCCCTCTTTCCCTCCCTCTTTCCCTCCCTCTTTCCCTCCCCCGGAGCCGCGGCGTGCGTTGTCCGAAGGCCGCCTTTCTGGCCTCACCTCACGTCGTTCATGCCTGCAGGCTGAGAGTCACTCTCTGTCTCTCTCGCACTCACGGGGCGTACCAGCCCGCACGGGCGTGCGAGAGAGACAGAGCGACGAAAACAACTCCCTGCTGTCGGAATCCGTCTCTGATGCCGCGGCCGCGGCTCAGTGGTCCGTCACTCTGTCCCTCATCCAGCTCCGGCGTGAGTGCGAGAGAGACAGAGGAGCGCCTTTGCGAACCACTGAGTGTGAAAAGGGGGGCGTCGGGGAGGCGGGGAGGGGAGGGGGGAGTCAGACACCGCTTAGCGTCGCTACCCCGCGCTGCTCGGTGCGCGCGGTGCGCGTGGCGCGCGCGGCCCCCGGCAAGTCCATGTCCGGGGAGCAGGATTCGGCTAATTCGCTTTGGAAGGCGTCGGAGCGCGACGCCGTTGGCTGTGACGTCACCACTTAGCTCTGAAAGCGTCAGAAAACGCAGAGAGCGCGGAACCGTCTTACGATGAAGGCACTTTCACAATACTGGTTCCGTTTGCACTCGAGAGTGCACGGGAAAAACGCTGATCGTGGGTTTCACAGGAACTCCCTAGAAGTGTGCTTCCAAGTGTGTATGCACGCGCTCAAAGGGTTTGGGCCCTCGAGGGTCCTAGCGTCTAGATTTTCCTGGAAGGCAAAGCAAAAGCCAGTCTTTGCCCCTGTAACTTGGCAAAAAGTGCTCTCCCTCAGGCCAGCTATATGCGCCAGTGTACGGCAGAGAGGGGGGGGGGGGATACGAATACCTGTTGACCCTGTATGGGGGTCACTACAGTGGGTCCCTAATGGTGCGTACCCCCCACCCCCACCCCCCGCGAGGCCGTTCCCAGCGCCGCTACCCCGCGCGCCCAGAGAGTCTTCCGGCGCGCGGGGTATCGCACCTGCAGCCTCCATCTCACTCGCACCTTCACAGATCGGCCCATGAGTGGGAGAGAGACCGAGAGACGTTCGGAAATTGGTGCCCTTTGACTCCCGCTGCTCCGATTGCTGCGGGGCCGCGGGAGATGGACAAGGGGCGGCCGCTGCCCCTGGAGGAGTTGGGGGGGGGCCTTTGTGTCCAAAGGTCATCCCCTGGCGTCGGGCTGAATCACCTCATCAGCGCGGCGCCCAGTGCAAGGCTGCACGGCGAAACCAGTGTGGGGAACTCCCGGGAACGCCTCACTCGAAATGCGGGTCAGCTTGCCGTCTCCACTCCTACAGTGTGGACTCCTCCACGTTTGAACCACGCCAGGGGCTCTGCTAGCTACTCCACACCTGACTTCAAACTCCCCACGTCCTGGTGTGGGGAATAACTCCGCACCAGGAAGAGAGGAGTTCTCCACCCTGAGTTTGACAGTGTACCGCCAGCGCGCCACGCGCTCCGCTCCACGAGCCGTACGGGCCACGGCCCGACAACGCGGCCTGGGCATTCCGGTGGCGCACGCCCGCGATTTATAATCCCAATAAAACACCGAGCTGGGAAATGTCTTTTCGCATCCGCGGTTGCACCGAGGGTTGCACTGTTCTAAAGATCGTTCTCTTTCTCCTCCGCAGGCTTCGGCGCCATGGAGGTCAAGCTGGAGACGCAGAGCGGCGGTGGCCCGCAGAAGTGTGCGGGCTGCGGCAAGGCCATCACGGACAGGTGGGTCTCGTCCACTGTGAAAGGAGAACGCCACACTTGAAGAGCGGAGGTGTGGGGATTTCCCGGCCCCGCTCTGGCAAGTGCGGAGTTTGCAGTCTCCACTCTTCAAGTGTGTGCGGAGTGCTCCGCATTTGTCGGGTCATTGTCTCTTGGCCAGTCTTCCCGATTCCAGGGACGGTCCATCGTTTCCCCCTGTGCCCCTCCACCCTTTGGGGCCCTCGGGCCTCGCGTCGCGACAGCCCTCGCGGCCCTCGCCGCCCTCGCATTCTTCGTCCTGTCGAAACGCTCGCATTCTCGTGTTATTCCCCGTTGTTTGCCCCGCAATGGGCCGCGCGGCTTGGGGCCGTTCGCGTCGCCAGACCGATAACATTGCTTTCCTCCCGGTCAATTCGTTGTCGAGGTGCCGCCCGTTCTCCGAATCCGGCGGATAAAATAATCCTCACCCAAAGTCGGGTGATATGCCTCGTCCAAAATTTGGTATTGATCTAGACCCTTTCATAATTCTCAGTGTTCTCCCTCGCCAAACAGCTCGATAACGACGGCATAGCAGCTGCCTTCTCCCAAACCAATTTTGATGCAGCTCCGCACGCCAACGAGGCTCATGTAATATTTGGCGTGGTCGATCGCTGTCTTTTGTCCCCGTGGAGCTCCCCGCGGAGGGTTGGAGCTGCGGACATAAGACGGCAGTCAGGCCCCGCTCACCGGTGCCTGCCACAGTGCCTGCCCTGGCTGGGAAGGGACTGACCCTCCCCAGGTCGTGATTACGACGGCCAAACTCACGGGTCCACTTTTAAAAAGAAAGATTAAAGTTCCGTTCCGTTACCTTTGGTATGAAAAAATGCACATACATTTCTCAACGTTTGTGAAAACCTGCGTACAAATTTGCAGAAAGAAAAACTGTTACGTCTGGTACAAATTTTGAATCGAAACCTGTAGGTACAAGAAACCACTGTGCGGCGGGTGATGTTATTTCACGATTGAGCCTCCTCCGGTCATACACTGCAGTGCAGGGTGTCAGAGTCGCATTTTTATGTCATTTTATGTTTTGAAATAATTCATTTTTGATGCGGGTGAGATAGCGGAGTTTAAAAACGGGCTGACTCTGCCGGCCTGCCTCGGCTCGACAGACAGCCAGCGGAGCCCAGCGTGCCCCACCAGCCAGGCCGGCGCCGCCCCGCGGGCAGAAGCGCCAGCCGCCATTCACAACAATAACTGTTATGGTACAACAATTGCCGTGTCCTCTCTCTCTCTCTCTCTCTCAGTGTGTGTGTGTGTGTGTGTGTGTGTGTGTGTGTGTGTGTGTGTGTGTGTGTGTGTGTGTGTGTGTGTCCCTTCGCCCCGTGGTGGGCAGGTTTTGTCGTTCCTCATGTTCCCCGCGGCCAATTAAAAGGCACATCGGGGGGTGCCGGTAAAAGTGGAAAATGGGAAGCGGTCATGTTACTGCTATTCAGCGAGTTTGTCGCCGGATTCGTGCTCCGAATTGTTTCAAGCCTGAATGCATTTCACGTCACATATGTTTGAACGTGGATTTCATGTTGACATCATGCAGCGTGTTCGAACGAACTACACTACTCGTTGGAGACGAGTTGGTAGCGTTGGTTCGCACGTAGGTGTGCAACGGAAGCTGAACCTAGCAAAGGCCCTGTCTAACCTTCCCCTGCGCTGTCTGCTGTCGGCAGGTACATGCTCAAGGCGATGGACCTGCTGTGGCACGAGGACTGCCTCAAGTGCGGATGCTGTGACTGCCGGCTGGGCGAGGTGGGCTCCACCCTCTACACCAAGGCCAACCTCCTGCTGTGCCGGCGGGATTACCTCAGGTAAGAAGCGGCACTCGTCAACTGGTACAACTTCCAAACGTTCAGACTAGGGAAACTTAGGGCATGCATCTTAAAAACAACGACCCACTGAGTGGCAAAAGAAGTCAGAATGTCAAACGGGACCATATTTCGCATATTTCGTCCTATATCACCATAGTTCTGTCCTCCTTTTTGACGCTTACGTTGCATCATATTGGCGTTTTTTTACGTCTTGATGTAGTGGCACATCCGAGGATTTGAGTCCCGACAGGACCAATTTTCAATTCTCAATTATTTTTTTTATTTTGCAGGCTGTTTGGCAGCACGGGGTACTGCGCGGCGTGCTCCAAGGTGATCCCGGCCTTCGAGATGGTGATGCGGGCCCGGCACAACGTGTACCACCTGGAGTGCTTCGCTTGCCAGCAGTGCGGACACAGGTGAGGAGAATCCTGGCCTAACGGTGCCCTCACTGTCAGACCAAGTGTCGAGAACTCCACAATTTCCCGAGTGATTCTACACATTTTAACGCGTGGAGCAGTACACTTCGAGTGTGGAGTGCCCCTTGTCTCTCTTGGCTCGGTGCAAACGTGGAGAACTCTTAAAGTGTGGATACTGCAAACTCTGCTCTCCTACGAGCGGAGACTGCAAATGTCATCTGCATTTCAAGTTTGGAGTTCTCCACACTTGGTTTCACAGTGCTCGGTCTGGCCTATCAGTGCCCTCACTCTTCAATCTCTTTCCCCGTCGCTGCTGGGGATGCACTCGTGGTGGGGTGGGGGAACCATCACGGCATGATTTACTGGTCCCATTACCGCTTCAAAGACACTCATTGGCGTGATACACAAAAATGGGCGCGACATCCAGGGCATCAGTCTCTCTTTTTAACCGCGCCCCTCTGCTGTCGCAGGTTTTGCGTCGGCGATAGGTTCTACCTCTGCGAGAACAAGATCCTCTGCGAATACGACTACGAGGAGCGGATGGTGTTCGCCAACATGCAGCCCTCCGCCGTCAAGCAGGTCAACGGCCACCACCTCAACAACAACAACAACAACAGCATAGCCAACAACAACACGTCCAGCGCCAACAACAACGATGTGAGTTCAGGTGCAACACAGTGGAATGACTGGTTCCATCCATTTTTTTCCCATCTGAATCGATCAGACACCTTTTTATTAAGAGAAGGCGAATATCCGAACTTGTTAAGTGTTACGGACTCGTGTGAGTTATAACATACCTTTGGACGAGTAAACTTCACTGACTTTCCTTTTCTCCTCCAGGCCAGCCACACTACCACCACTACTACCACCACGGCCACGGTGCAGTGCAACGTGACCGTGAACCAGGACGGCGCCACGCCGCCCCTGCACGTGCAGGTGCAGGTGCCCTCCGGCTACCACAACCTGCTGGAGCCCGTGGGCGGCCGCTCCAAGTAGAGCCCGCCTGCCAAAGCCAATCTCTGGGCCGCGTCCAAAAATGGATCTATCTATTTAAAAAACTATTTTTCTTTTAATTGATGTGATTTTGACGGTAATTCAAATTGTGTGAAGCGGAAAGCTGCTTAGCATATCTATGCAGAACGACTTGTTGGGCAAAAATCTAACCTTGATAGTTGGCTGTGCTGTACTGATAAGTGATTTCTCAGACAGAATTAGAGCGGCAACATCCCTTTCCAATATCGAAATTCAGGTGCAGGATCGATATTGTCTTTTCTTCGAAAGCGACATGGGCCCAGGTTTACCATAGCGAAGTCAGACACACCTTCTTTTTGGGAGACAACGCGATGCCGATTCAGAACTGAATCCTGAATTCCGATATCGTAATCATTCCCGCCACCCTAAGTCTGTCTGAGATTTACAGATTGTCCCAAAAATTTAAGTCATGGTAAAGTTGGCAGAATTTCAGGGGTAGCAGCAGTTAGGCGTATACGTCCCCCCATATAATCGCATTAATGTGGCTTGAATTTTAAGACACCCTGTATTGTTTTCTTTGTAAGATAGTCCTGTCAAATGATAATTTTGTTTTCTTTGTTAAACTATTATTTCTCTTTGCTGTGTCGAAAAAAATAAATTGTCGACTGTTATCGAGTAAGTTTAGGTTCCTCGCGGAAAATGCTTGTTATTGATTTTTGGAATAATTATTAGTCACGAATTGGCCATTTTAGTTCCCCATGCCCTGCGTCATTCAGGTTTGAACAAATCAATGTTTTTCTGGGTGGTTGAGTTTCATTTTGAAAATGCCTTATTGTTCTATTTATTTGATGTTAAAGATTTTCGGTTGTTATATACTTTTGTTGTAGGTGCTAATCGTTATGCCAACTTGTACAATCTATGAA